CCACCATGTACCCATCCTCTGATGGCTACTTCCACCATGTCACAAAGCTCTAATCATTTCAAATTGGTTTCTTGAACATGACAATGAGTTCACTGTACTAAAATGGCCTCCACAGTCACCAGATCTCAACCCAATAGAGCATCTTTGGGATGTGGTGGAACGGGAGATTCGCATCATGGATGTGCAGCCGACAAATCTGCGGCAACTGTGTGATGCCATCATGTCAATATGGACCAAACTCCCTGAGGAATGCTTCCAGCACCTTGTTGAATCTATGCCACGAAGAATTGAGGCAGTTCTGAAGGCAAAAGAGGGTCCAACCCGTTACTAGCATGGGGTACCTAATAAAGTGGCCGGTGAGTGTATATGCTGCATATATGCGTATATATTGCACATATAGGCAAAACTGAGGTGCATATATGTGCATATACAGGCCATATAGGTCTCCTGTATTGCTTCTTTTTATCCACATATAAGCCCTATATGTGCATACATGACTCCTATATAGCTCATGGCAGGATCTGGTCATTATACCTCACTTTGGCAACTGTCATACATGATGCCTAGCTCATATTTTCTATTATCAAGGCAATAACTACAACTAACTAAAAAAAGAAATTATGCAAGAACTGTATATGTGCGAACATGTGAAATTGGTATCACATGTAATTGGCATGTTATGGAATTTAACTATGGCAATTAAGTGAGAGGAGATGGAAAGCTATGTGAAAGCTACATTTACAAGGTCAATTCTTTCTTGTATGAAGATAGTGGGAAAAGAAGGAAATAACAAAATGGTTTGTCGTTTTTTTATTTTGTTAATCAAGCCCTTTTTCCAATTTCAAGTCACTTCCAGATTTACATTATACAGCTCATACACATCCACACATTCACCGTTCCACCAAATGCAATGCAAAATGCAATGCTTTCTGTATTGTCTTAATGCAGTTTCTATATGAATATGGCTGAAAGGTCATTACAGTCTAAATGTAGCAAAAAAAAAAAAAAAAAAAAAACAGAACATACATTGAAGTAATCATCTTCATCATCATCATCATCATCATCATCATCCCATCTATCTGAGCATTTCACTATGGTTAATGAATTTGAAGACAAGCATTTTGAGTCTGTAAAGTTTTTAAAAAATCGAAAAGCCCAAAGATCTGTATCTCTGCTAAATGAATTTAATATATGTTTGAGATGCCCTTTATCTTTTTCCTTTTCTTTTCTTTTTTTCCAAATTATTGTTGTTTCAACTTATACTTATCAAATGTGAAAATCTGTAAAAGAAATGTGTCAAGAACTTGATATCAAACTCTGTAATTTTAAAATTGCAAAAAAAAATGCAAAAAAATGCAAAAAAAAAAAAAAATTCTCCACTCTGCTGCTACCATGGCTACAGCGCCGCGTAGTTGATGACGTCATCCGCCTGACGTTTGACGATTCGCGCCGAAAGATATATATCGGCTGGGAGTGAAAATGGCGATATCAGCGTTGGAGATCCGTTATGTCCAAGGGGGTAATCCATCGACCGGAAGTTGAAGCCGGCCGGGTGCCGCCATGTTGTAGCAGAACTTCACTTGCGTTAGCATTTCCATTGACTCCCAGTCATTTTGGCGTCACTTTGACAGCGAATAACTTTACATCTGAGGCGTTTAAAGACTCCATTTGTCCATTATTTATTTCTAAAGAAACACGACAATGTATAATGGGCTCCATTACCTTCTATGTTACATTATGGCCCCGTAGAAACAGATTTAGTAAAAATAGGCTAACGATTGCGTCATAACCACTCGACTCTCTGTCGCGCTGTACAGAAATGACCGTACAGACAGGAGGAGAAGCTCGCAGGCAATCGGGGGGACGTCCCGTCAAGGGAGAAGCCCATAGATAATGAGTCCATAAAAGCAACGGAATACTTACTCCTGCTCACTCACGCCAAAGAACTCTTTGCTCAAGTTCCCCGTCTCTGCAAGATTAACGTTGGCAGTTTTCACGCACAGCTACTAGAAGATTAACGTCTGTCAGACAGGTTGCTCACGTCATCAAGCTTAGTTTGAGTCGGTCTGAGTCTGCGCGTCAGGAACGGAAGTTCTCAAAAATCGCTAAAAGTGGGCTTCAACTGTCTCAACTGAGTTCCAATGAGATCGCTCTGTCCATTTCTTTTACTGTCTATGGTTATGTCCTACTTATCATCAATCGTCGTAAGTATTCCTAATTCTAATATTTATTAGCAGGGTTTTTTTCTGGAGATGGATATTGCGGTGGCAGAGAAGTATAAACTTAGAAATTGTATGGGCTGAAAAGTTTAACACGTGTTTGGCAAATGCTATGTTGTTAAGTTAACTGAGGTAACTTAAAGTTAGTGTGGGTGCTCATATAGCCGTTGATAAGATTCAAATTAGAATTATATTTATGTGTCTCTTTCTAGAGGAATTCGTAGAGGGTTAACAAAAGTCATGGCCTAGAGAACATACAGTTCATGAGAATAAATGATGCTTCTCTGCCTTCAACGGCTCAAGAAGTCAATCGGCTCCAGAAAAAAAACCCTGGGGAATTTGAATTTGGGAGAAATTGGAGAAAGACATTTTTTTTAATTGCGTTCACAACCAGGTTTCCTCTCCAGAGCCTTATCAATGGGCTTTGGAGGGTTGTAAAGCTTGCGTTCACAGCTGCAGGAAATGTATTTCGAAGAGTAACGTTAACGTTAGGGCACTGAGTTGCTGGGTGCTATTCTGCTTTAGTGATTGTAATTGTTTTTTCTTTAGGCTATATAACTTCTTGCTAGAAATCCCTCAAATGAAAAGTGACCTCGCCATTATTGCTCAAAAGGTAAGTTCCACTGATTTTCATTGCTTTTTAAAATTGTTTCTCAAGCAGAGCTGTAGAGACTTGTGATGTTGGGCTGATTGATAGTGTTTATTATTTGATGTATTTGCACTTTAATTTATTGAAGAGAATGACTATATTTTTACATTTACATTTACATTTAGTCATTTAGCAGACGCTTTTATCCAAAGCGACTTACAACTGAGGACTAAACCAAGCGAGTCATCGTGAAGAGGCAAAAGCAACGCAAGAAGTGCTCAAAATACAAAGTTCAGACATAGCTCGGAGTAGCATAAGCCAGGCAAGCGAGGATTTAGAGGAAAGGAGTTTTTTATTTTTATTTTTTTTTTATGTTAAGTGCTCCCGGAAGAGATGAGTTTTCAGTTGTCTTTTGAATGTTGTCAGGGATTCCGGATGAGGGTGGGGAGATCATTCCACCAGCATGGAACCGTGAATGAGAATGTTCTGGAGAGTGATTTTGTGCCCCGCTGTGATGGTACCACGAGCCGTCGCTCATAGACCGATCGTAGGCTTCTGGTAGGGATGTAGACTTGTAGTAGTGAGTGGAAGTAGGAGGGAGCTGAACCTGTGGTCAATCTGTAAGCAAGCGTCAAAGCCTTGAACTTGATGCGAGCAGCGAGTGGTAGCCAGTGCAGAGAGATGAACAGAGGAGTGACGTGGGCCCTTTTGGGCTCGTTGAAGACCAGACGAGCTGCAGCATTCTGGATCATTTGTAGAGGTTTAGTTGCACATGATGGAAGTCCAGCCAGAAGAGCATTGCAGTAATCAAGCCTAGAAATGACCAGGGCCTGGACGAGAAGTTGTGTTGCATGCTCAGTTAGGAAAGGTATGAAGGTATTTTTGTTCTATGAACAAGACTGGAAGGAGTCCTGTGGAGGATCTAGATGTCTCCTCGACTTTTGGAGAAGTGCAACCGGTGAGTAACCCCCTTGCATTTGTATTTATTTATTTAGTTTACTTGTTACTCAAACATAGCTATATGGATTTTTATGATGTTTGGCTGATTTTTATTTATTTATTTATTTATTTTTGGCTATGAATTTATTGACATGTTTAATGTTTTCCAAGCCCCCCCTGTAAATAAGAATCTATAGTGGCTTGCTTGGATGAATAAAAATTGTTGTAGAGTTTTACTAAGTTTCTTTCTTCTCTAAGACTCCAGAGAGGAGACCGAGCACTTTAAAGAGAGTCCCATGGTGACTGAGCGCTTTCGAGAGACACCACAGGTGTGTGTAACCCTTATATACCTCAGATTTTTCTGTACTTATTTTACTTAAGGCTCCAACTGAGCTATAGGGATTTTTATGTTGGGATAGTTAGTGGTAATATGTAATTTACTTGCCCCATATGCATACAATTGTTGAAGTTTTACAATTGAGTTTAACAATGTTTTTCTTCTCTAACAAGACTGCAGCAACAGCTGAGACCACAGCGAAAACACAGGTGAATAACATTATGTATTAAGGATGGGTATAAACTGTGTGCTTGTAGGAGCCAATTAGTGTTATAAGAGACAATCATCCTTTCCTCCTGCCCCCCTTCACTCCTCTCCAACCACTGACTTTTCTCCTTCCCTACTCTCCATCCAACCTCCTCCTTCTCTCCTTTAATAACGTTTAGGGCAATGATTAATTTGGTTCATATCTTTATCATTAATCTGCATTTATACATCATAACCTATTAACTTTTGGGAAGCTAAGCATAAGAATCAATATGAAACATGAAAAAGTTTCTAAAAGTTACCAATAAATTAATATTGTGATGTGAAATTATTTTTCAGATTGAAGTTATAAAGGCCTCTGGGGTGTTTTGCCAGGCAGAAGCGTGGAAAGCAGCCCGCCTTGCCACCTCTGCCACTGCCATGGTGCCGAATCTGCTGCTGGGCACCTTTGATTTGGATACTTTGCTGAAAAGCAACCTGAATGGTACTAAACAACATGTTCCTAATCTCTTCTGTCCTTGAAAAAAACAAGTCAGTCATATTCTGTGGAATAAATTATGTTTGTGTGCGGGCATACCATCGCTTTTTTACTTGCTATTTTTGTATATCCTTGCACCCCAAGAAAATGTGATGTGTATATAAAAAATCTCTTGTTTTCACCACCTTAATTTTACCCCCCTTTCATAATAATTTTGAAATATTACTTTAAGGTGGGAAGCCAACCAGAGGGGATGGGGAGCAGCTGGTCCCCCTTGACCAAATTAAAAAGGCAGCCATTATTGGTGAGTAAATGCATAATGCGTTGAGAAGGGAAAACACAACTTTTAAGACTTTATAAGTTCACCACTTTAACCATAGCCTACTTGTATTAATGTTTATTAGGCATCAATGGAGACTGTATAATGTAGGGCACCCATTATTGTTACTGTATCTGCTTGGAACTTATAATACTAATTCATTGCTTGCTCACTTCTTGATCCTACCTTTCCTCTTCTAAAGCCACATTTCTGAAATTTTTCTACCGTGTGACTGTTAACAATGCAGTCCCGATGACGGACATGTGCATATGAAAGAACGATGCCGCTAAAAAAAGGGGGACGATGTTTCCAATCAGAATTTCTTTCAGATTTAGCAGAATCCAATCAGAATCTTCCAATTGACGTGTTTACATGACGCATTTTTTATTATGATCAGCCCTTTATCCAAAATGTGTGTCCAATCGCAGCTGTACTGTAAGCACTTTGGGTTCCTGATGAAGCAATATATTGTTATTATTATTATTATACTGTCTTATTATTTTTGTCTTCTCTAGATGCTACATTGAAGAAGTGGCCGGCAGCCAGCCGAGGGCAGATAGGCACATCTATCAATTCGAAGCTCACGGAGCTGAGAAGATCAACAAGATAAATTGGTTTTTTTTTCTGTACAGTTTTTTGTCTTATTTTTGTTCTTGTACTATTTGATTGTTCTTGAGTAAATAAATAATTTAAATTTCTACATTTTGGGCTATTATTTATGTTGCCTAGTAGCTATGGATTTTAATAATTATACTAATATATAGGTAAACATATAGCTGGATATATACGTGCATATATGTACCTATATAGGTACATATGTGCACATATATAGGTACATATATAGGTACATATATACACCTATATAGGTACATATATGCACGTATATAGGTTCATATATGCACGTATATATGCACCTATGTAGGTACATATATGCACCAATATATGTACATATATGCACACATATATGCACCTATATATTGGCATATATGCACCTATATATGTACATATATGCACACATATATGCACCTATATATTGGCATATATGCACCTATATATGTACATATATGCACACATACACTCACCGGCCACTTTATTAGGTAAACCTGTCCAACTGCTCGTTAACACTTAATTTCTAAGCAGCCAATCACATGTCGGCAACTCAGTGCATTTAGGCATGTAGACATGGTCAAGACAATCTCCTGCAGTTCAAACCGAGCATCAGTATGGGGAAGAAAGTTGATTTGAGTGACTTTGAACGTGGCATGATTGTTGGTGCCAGAAGGGCTGGTCTGTGTATTTCAGAAACTGCTAATCTACTGGGATTTTCACGCACAACCATCTCTAGGGTTTACAGAGAATGGTCCGAAAAAGAAAAAACATCCAGTGAGCGGCAGTTCTGTGGGCGGAAATGCCTTGTTGATGCCAGAGGTCAGAGGAGAATGGCCAGACTGGTTCGAGCTGATAGAAGGGCAACAGTGACTGAAATAACCACTCGTTACAACCGAGGTATGCAGCAAAGCATTTGTGAAGCCACAACACGCACAACCTTGAGGCGGATGGGCTACAACAGCAGAAGACTCCACCGGGTACCACTCATCTCCACTACAAATAGGAAAAAGAGGCTACAATTTGCAAGAGCTCACCAAAATTGAACAGTTGAAGACTGGAAAAATGTTGCCTGGTCTGATGAGTCTCGATTTCTGTTGAGACATTCAGATGTTAGAGTCAGAATTTGGCGTAAACAGAATGAGAACATGGAACCATCATGCCATGTTACCACTGTGCAGGCTGGTGGTGGTGGTGTAATGGTGTGGGGGATGTTTTCCTGGCACACTTTAGGCCCCTTAGTGCCAATTGGGCATCGTTTAAATGCCACGGCCTACCTGAGCATTGTTTCTGACCATGTCCATCCCTTTATGGCCACCATGTACCCATCCTCTGATGGCTACTTCCACCATGTCACAAAGCTCTAATCATTTCAAATTGGTTTCTTGAACATGACAATGAGTTCACTGTACTAAAATGGCCTCCACAGTCACCAGATCTCAACCCAATAGAGCATCTTTGGGATGTGGTGGAACGGGAGATTCGCATCATGGATGTGCAGCCAACAAATCTGCGGCAACTGTGTGATGCCATCATGTCAATATGGACCAAACTCCCTGAGGAATGCTTCCAGCACCTTGTTGAATCTATGCCACGAAGAATTGAGGCAGTTCTGAAGGCAAAAGGGGGTCCAACCCGTTACTAGCATGGGGTACCTAATAAAGTGGCCGGTGAGTGTATATGCACCTATATAAGTACATATACCGACGTATATATGTACACATATATGCACACATATATGTACACATATATGTACATGTATGTGCATATATGTACATATAATATAGGAAAACGGCCAATTTTATATATGTCACATATATTGAAATCCTATATCAAAACCTATATTAAAACATATATGTTTATATAGGTTCTTTCCATGTGGGGCACATTCCAAATTCACAAAGATTGCGTCCATGACGACTTAAATCCACTGGAATGTAAAGAAATATCCTCTGCGTCAGCAACACAAAATGTCTGCCCCAGCTTCGTCGAGCGACTCGGGCCTTAGGGCCCTTACATAGTCAACGCATCGGTACGCATACGCGTGCGCAAGGCTACACATCGCTATGCTTCGGCCGCCATTATGCGTCGATGCGTAGCCAAATGTGTCATCCTAGTTTTTGATACGCGACGCGCCGATGCACGCAATACTATGCGTTGTCGGTGGGGGCGACATTGCAAGTAATGTACATAAAAAGGTATATTATTATGTTTACAGAAGAAGAAGATTTGAATACAATGGCGGGCGAAGAGGAAAAGTTATGCGAGCTTGTTCGTATTCATCCTTTGTTGCCGCCGATGTAAAATCAGCAATATGCACTCCTCTTCAGTTGCCATTTTGATCTGAATATTACGTGACCCGACTCTAGACTCTACTACCCCCTGCTGCGCGATCGGTGTATTGCATTTCACGCATCGCCGGTGACGCTTGTGTACTATGAAAAGGAGCGCGTAGCTCGCGTCGCTCGCGTTGCTTGCTCGCGTTGCTCGAGTTGACTATGTAAAGGCCCTTACACGCATACGCAGTGAAATTTTCCTCGTGTAAACTCACACATGACCGGCTGGATGTTCACAGCATTTTCGGAGTCGTCCGTCACAAACCGGCTCGTCGTCCGTGTCCTCGCATTAAATCCAAGGCCAGAGATAAAATGTTCGGGCGCCACTTGTAACGCGCTGCTTCAGGAAGAAGGAGAAGGATAGCTCACAACTGAAGATATTACGTGCGGAGGCCAGACAGACTCACGGAGGCGATATGCATCTCAACTCGTGCTTTATTCCACATCGAACTCGTGCAGCATAACTATCTGTCGCACGTCCTTCCGTCCACATCGTTACTTAACAAGCAAAAGTAAAATAATATAAAAGTCGGCATCAAACAGAAATTAGAATTACACACATGGGGTGTTTGAGGCACACGGCATATAGCACATACAATACCAAATAATGTCGACTCTTCAACAGGAGCGCGCAGCTCTTAAAGGGGCCACACCCTACCTTCACTCGTCACAGATTCTTAAAGGGGTCACACCATATTTCCACTCGTTACAACCGTTATAGGCATTAATTCGCTCTTAGACCAGTTTATCCGGTATCCTGAAAATGTACCAAAATGAGAGATAATTTCCAAGATTCTTGTGATAATAAAATTAGGCTTAGTAATATATAACAGGATGTCGTCAGCATACAATGAAATTTTACTTAATGTATTCTCTGTGCTATATCCATGTTGGGGTCGGAACGAATAGTGTATGCTAAGGGCTCGAGTGCCAAAGAAAAAATAAATAAATAAAGAGTAAGGGAGATAAAGCACAACCTTGTCTGGAACAGTTGAAACGTTGAAGAGAGCATCTTATTAGTCAGAATTCTTGCAGAGGGCCTACGGTAGAGAATTTCTATCCACTTTTCAAAACTATCACCAATATCAAACTTTCTTAAAACTTTAAACAGATAAGACCACTCCAATTGGTCAAAAGCTTCTGCGTCAAGAGAAACTATAACCAGGTCCTCTGTATGTGTGTTGTGGGAGTAAATTATATTAAAAAGACGTCTAAGATTTGAAAAGGAGTGCCTGTTTGGTATAAATCCTGTCTGATCGGGGTGAACAAGTTCACAAATCAATTACTGTTGGACAAAGCTTTAGCCAGATTTTTTTGGTCACATGTTAAAAGTGAAATTGGCCTATAGCTACTTACTTCTTCTGGATCTTTCCCCTTTTTAAGTAATGCTGTTATGGTAGCCTCGTTTAACGTAGGAGGTAGCATGCCAATAGTATTTGCATGAGTATGCATTTGAAATAAATAAGGTGAAAAGAGATCACTGAATTGTTTGTAAAATTCACAAGAGTACCCATCAGGGCCAGGGGCCTTTCCGCACTTCATTGACCTAATCGAGTCTTGTATTTCAGAAACCGAAAGTTCTGCATTGAGGAAGTCACGATCTTTCTGATCTAGAGTGGGAGATTATTATTCTTATATTATGATTACTATTATAATATAATATGTGTGTATAAAACATCCTTTTGCCTAGAAGTGTATCTTTAGTGTTAGACTTGTACTTTGAAGAGTTTCAATAAATGCCATGAAATCATTGAAAAAACAACAATAACAACAAAAGTAGTGGCCAGGCACTGTTTAAAGGACAATCCAATGAGCAGAAATATCAGGTCAAGCATAAAATGTAATGCTATTTCAGAGCAGAACTAATGCTCCGATTCAAGTAGCTTCCCTCTGAATATTTTAAGGGCTAGCTTTTTGAGGTTGACCTTGAACTCATCTCCTCTCCTGTTCAGTCCTTCAACCTTGAATACAGCGTTATCTGCAGACGCTTTGATTGTATTCACAGATGAGAAGCGCCACATTTTTTTTTTTTTTTTTTTTTCTGAGGCCTTTTCTACGTTATGTGATTTTACATTGTGCGATCTTTGTCTCTCTCTGCTGGTGGACAGACGTAAGTGTCTTGAATTTTATAATTATTCCCAAAATTTTTAAATAAATGCAGCTCACCAAGGCTGCATTTATTTAATGAAAAAATTGTTTTCTATTTGAATATATTTTAACGTTTTTAAATGTATCATAAGTGACAGTGCAGACATTCATAATGTTAAGAAACTATTTCTATTTAATAAATGCTTTAATAAAATAAATAAAAAATAAATGCTGTTCATTCAACTTTCTATTCATCAAAGAATCCTGAAAAATCGGTTTGACTGTTTCAACAAAAATATTAAGCAGAAAAATGTTTTTAACATTGATAATAATAAGATATATTGTCAGAATAATTTCTGAAGGATCATGTGACACTGAAAACTGACTAATGATAATGAAATTTCAGCTTTGCCATCACAGGAATAAATTACATAAAAAAGTATGCAAATAGAAAACAGTTCTTTTTATTTGTAGGCTAATAATATTTCGCAATATTACGGGTTTTACTGTATTTTTTGCCCCATTGACTTCTAGCCTATATGGAGAAGAAAAAAAAAGTCTGCTGTTTGGTTACTGACATTCTTCAAAATATCATCTTTCGTGTTCAGCAGAAAAAATAAATTCATACAGGTTTGGAACAACTTGAAAGTGAGTAAATGACAGAATTTTC